AAGGAAGGATGTTGATAAGAATGCTTTGTGTCAAGGAAGTGGTCAGTGCTACGTCGGATGGCAGCAGGTGTTGGGTTCGTAGTGTGCACTCATACAGTTCCGAAGATCGCCACGTAATGAGTTTCTGAAGTGTTCTGTGTTCTCTGACAGAAAGTGGAATGGCATGGCTGTCATCTCAAGCTGTGGACATGAGCACCGGTAGGTACGGTGGTCATTCTCATGGATATATTTTCGAAAAGATCAAAATTGAAAACACAAAAGAATATATAACATATTAATACAAGAAAGCAAAATTATTAGAAAAATTCTTTTATCCCAAGTACTCTAGAGCAGTCAGCAAAAATAATCCGAAATGACTTAACTGTAAGTTTGTAAACAAATCTTTTAGTTGCCTCCACTTAGAATACTGGCTCTCTCTCCAGGAAGAAATCGTGGAGGGACCCATGGCCGTAGGTGCCTTGGCGTTGGCACTAAACCGTAGTGGACACACTTCTGCCTTCAGACAGCCAGAGTTAACGTAAACCCATATACGTGTGTGTGTATAGTATATAGCAGCGTGGGCAGCCGTTGTTATGCAGTTACCGCGAGATGGGTTCGGGAAACGCGTTGTTGCTACTAGGCAGTTGCAGCAGTTGGACTGCAACAATGAAAGCGGGAGTGTTTTCTGTGTGGTCTGTGCCGAGGAGTTATCTTGAAGACAACTGGGGCAACCCAGTTAGTTGAGTCATCCCGTGTGGAGGCGGGGTCGAATACCTCCACCGTAGCCCTGCCAGTCGTAGGAGGCATCGAAAAGGGAACCCAGTTTGGGGGTATAACTGGGCCACCCTACTATATAAATAAGGGGACCTGGTCCTCCAGGTTTGGAGAGTCTCAAATCTGAAACAGTAAAATGTCGTGAGTGCCGCGGGACTCGAATCTGAAGATGACTACGCTGGCGAGGATCAGCAGCGATTGTAAATTACAGACCCAATAGCCTCAAGTGTTAAGTTGGAAACTAAAATTACTGATCGTGATACTCAAGGGGCTTGTCGCCAAGACGACCTGACTGGCGTTAAACCTCCAATCGTAAAGTAACTGACTTGTGACCCAGTCAGTTAAGAGTTGAGTTCTGCAAGGGAGGCTGAGAAGGATAGCGCTATAATTAACTAACCAGCTGGCAACGGCGTGACCACAGAAGCTGAAGATTCCCCATTGTTAAGATTCGTTACCAGGAAACGATTTGTGAAAGCAGACAGAGTAGCCTTAGCGTGTGGTCTAGTGATTTGTAAAGTGTGGAGAACAGCGGTGGCATTGTTAAATGCCTCTAGTTCCGAGTTGTGTATATAAGTGGTCAATAAATCCATTCACCAGCCCAAACACCGTCTGTAGTCACCTCGTAAGTCGTGAAAAAAAAAAATATATATATATATGTGTGTGTGTAAGCACTGATATAGAATTATATCTCCCTACAATTAGACAGAAAAAAAAACATATTGACGAGTCGTCCCAGTGGAATGGAACTCCAGACTTCCAGTTGTTCAGTGCTCTGTCGTCAATCGGCACCCAATGAACAATTGGAAATCTGGAGTTTAAATGTTAATATTGAGTGCAGTGTGACAGCCACGTGAAGTGAAATACCCCTGATGATGGCCGGTTGCAGCCGAAACATGTAGTGTGAAAGAAGGGGACAAGAACTACAATAAAGTGTTACATTTACGACGGAGTTTATATTATACATATAGAAGTGTGAAATGTAACAGGATGCTTAAATATAATATAGTATTTATTTAATTGTAGGGATATCTGATTCCATATCAGTACTTATTCTGATTGTTTCGTCATCCCTAAGTTTTTGTTTTAAATCTGGATATACATTGTTGATTTTGTCAATATACAAACTCAGTATGAGTAACAAAGATTAAATATAAAAAAAAATGCATAAATGAAAAATGCTATTATGAGAAGGTGACATAAAGGTTATCCAAAACCTGTATTAATTCAACTCATCTTTAATCTGTTGTTGATATGGGGATTCATATGACATGTACTTTTCTTATGACAGAAGTCCAGAAGGAATGTAGAGGGAATCTGTTCTCTGTGCATCTTGGATCCCGGTATATCGTGTCCTCTAAGTATTTTGCACATGCGACCAAGAAATTTATTTCTGTGATGAATACCATATGTCATGATAACTAGGATCATTTTTAGTAGTGTAATGACCAGGACCCGGATTTTGATGACCTGAAAATATTTATAAAATGACCGAAAAAAATCCAGAAAAATTACCTAAAATATGACCCAGAAATGTAATATGCAGGGCCCGGATTTTGATGACCTGAAAATATTTATAAAATGACCGAAAAAAATCCAGAAAAATGACCTAAAGGAGAAAAGAAAGAACACTTCGCTTCCATGTTATTCACATTTCAGAAAACATATGAAGAAAAATTCCCTAAAATGGTCAAAAATGACAAGAAATACCCTTAAAAGTCCAAAAAAATTACCCCAAAAATGACCTTAAACCTAAAAATGTCAAAAAATTACCTAATAAAATTTACATTTCTGTAACCAGCAGCTCGTATCCAAGATTTATATATTTAAGAGCATCGAATAGGATACAAGGAAAAAAAGAAGATATGTCATCAAAATCTGGGCCCTGGTAATGACCATCTGACTGTTATTGTAGTGTTCAGAGTTTGGTCTTCTGTGTTGTGACACAGTATAGTCTTGTAGGTACAAGTAAGATAGGAATATATTGCCTTCTTCTTCAAGATTGACAGTGGTACTTACCTGTAGAACTACTAAGCATCACAGTCTAGTAAGCCACAATCTGAACTTTCATTGCCATGCAAACCTCAAAACTTTTATGCTTTACTAACTGATACAGACCAGCAGTAACTGTAATAAACTGTGCTGTTGTATTTTAGCGTCCTGTTGCACTGATTCATATCCATAATGTGTACGATGGGGTACCCAAAAGAAACCGAACTAATTTTTTTGTGGGCAGAGCTTTTGTAGTACCACGTTTTGCCGCTATGAGCGCATAGAGCTAACATTCCTGAGTCGATAAGCCGACTACCGTTGCTTCAGAAGGTAAGGACTAGTTTCGGCAGAGTTTAAAGTGACAACTGTTTTGTGTGATCGTCGTTTTTGCAATGGCTGATTTTCGTGAACAGCGTGCGGCGGTGAAATTCCGCATTTTGCTCGGGAAAAGTGGAACAGAAACTCTTGAAATGTTAAAAACTGCGTACAAGGACGATGCTATGGGGAAAACTCAAGTGTTTGAGTGGTTTTCCCGTTTCAAAAATGGTGAAATGTCAAATGATGACAAACCTCGTTCTGGTCGTCCTAGCACGGCCCGAACACATGAAAACGTTGAAACAATTCGTGAAATCATCAAGGAAGATCGACGACGGACCATTGAAGAAATTGTGGAGCTGTCGGGAGTGACTTGGAGCTCAGCGGCCAGATTTGTGGCAGTCGGGTGACTGGTTTTTCCATCATGACAATGCCCCTGCTCACGCAGCCCTGTCTGTACGACAATTCTTGACCAAAAATGGTATGACCCCTATTCCTCACCCGACCTTGCCCCGTGCGACTCTTTCTTGATTCCTCGAATGAAAAGAGACATGAAAGGAAAAAACGACGGAGGCGCTGTTAAGCATCTCAAAAGATGAATTTAGACAATGTTTTGAAAAATGGAATAAAAGACTAGACAAGTGTATTAGTGTAAGTGGAGAGTACTTTGAAGGAGATTGAAGGTTTGTGCTTAAAATTTGAATAAATAAGTTTAAAAAAAATAATTTCGGTTTCTTTTGGGTACCCCCTCGTATATATTAACGGTCTTTTAGTCCATACAGTTTCACTTGTCACTTCACACTACATGTTTCGGCATCATTCTGCCATTCTCAGGTGTATTAATCACGTTAAACCATTGCACTGCCTGCCATCAAGTGTCCATTTATAAAATTATATAAAATGTGTGTTTGTCGTTATTCAATAATAAAATTTATATATTAAAACTTTTTAAGATCTATCATCTTACATGTCGTATATCAAACTCGTTTGTAACGCCATTCATCCGCTATGGGAGTCCTTCTGATGTTTTAATTGTGTATATCCTGTGTCTTTATGTGGCTGTGTACGTGAAGTGACAAGTGAAATTGTAGGCACTAAAAGACGGTTAATATATACACATTATGGAAACTGTGCTGTATTTAGGGGCTCTGTATTATTCTCACGGTGAACAGAAATTTGTTCCTTAAATTATGTTAACTTGTTTATCTCTGTAATTGAGAGGCAGTGTGTATTCTGCAAGGTGTGAAGTGAATTCTTATATTGTACAGAGATAAATTCTTACATGTACTTCAAGGGGGAAATGTTTGATATTTAGTTGTCTCACCCAAATGTTGCTGGTGGTCAACCCTGTGCCTGGGGTTATAACTGTGGCACCGTGTTCTTGGGGATATAAATACGGGGACCTGGCCCTACAGGTTGGGGGAGCCTCGAATCTGAGGCAGTAAAATATGGTTGTGAGTCCCATGGAACTCGGACCCAAGAATGACTGTGCTGGCGAGGGCCAGCAGCAATTGTAAACGGCAGACCCATCCTCTCATCAGAGAGAGTGCCCCACATCAACAAACCCGAAAATGTCTGACAGTAATAAAAATCTGGTCATAAACCCCAGAGGGGTCCTTGACACCAAGACAGACTGGTCAACTGACCATCGGTCATAACATAACTTTGACTTTGACTTTGCTGCAGATGAATGAATTTCACTCCTATGTATTTGGGAGTTTCGAGTTTAAAATCTCATCTGGAGACTGCATATTAATTGAGGTTTTCTGTAGCTTTTCTGTCTCCCCATCCAAGTGCTGGAATAGTTCCTAAAATTCAGACACTGCTTCTTTTGTAATTGAACGGTTGTATCATTCGGTGCTGTATAAGTTGAGCTGTTGGAAGTGCTAAACAAACCAGGAATGCTTAATTGTGTCTAAATTGTTAATTATACCTTGTTACAGGTCAGCTCTGCAAACCCTGCATAAGGTGAGCTCCAAGGCTCGGGAGCAGAACTACTTCCTGGGAGGGCTTACACACGACTGGGTCAGTTACTATGAGCAGCGTATTGAGTCTGACCGTTCCTGCCTCAATGAATGGCACGCCATGGACAGCCTGGAGTCACGGAGACCACCATCGCCGGACTCCGTGCGGACCAAGTGAGCCCACTTGCTTATATATTTGGTCCATAATCCAGATCAGATCCCTGAAGAAGTAGGATTTGAGGTTCTCCCACTGGTTGCTATGAAGAGTTCTATCTTCTGGAATATAACACCGCATGGTCCGTTGAAAGTGCCTCTTCTGTGAAAATGGGAAATTAGGGTGTTATTTGCCATCCTCTGAGGTCCGGGCAGCGTCCCCCCCCTCCTTTTGTATGTTCTATTAAGACCTCAATACACAATGAAAGGAGAAACAACTTAACAACAACACAGGTAGGAACACACCACATAGAATTCAAATAAAAATTGCAGTCAAAGAAATATTAAGTACATACACTATTATGTAAAATACCTATAATATAGTTGCAGATACTTAACCAATCATATAAAAAAGGGGTGAAACATGGCTGCCTGGACCTCAGAGGACAACAGATAACACCCCAATGTCCTGTTTTCACAGAAGAGGCATAGAGACACAAACTTGAGCATTTTGAGATTTTGAAAATTAGGAACATTAATGATATATTTTTAACTTAATTAAAAATCTTTATACAAAACTTTAAGCTTATATACTATGAAACATGTAATAATAGTTCCTTAGCATATTGTTATTTCCTTCTGAAGATGGGCACAACTGACCAAAACATGTAAAGGCACTATATAAACTAATATATACTGTGTCACACTGGACAGTGTTTTCACATCATTTCACAATAGTTAACTAGTGTGATGGACCAGAATGAATAAAGTTAGACTTTTCCTGTTTTTAACTTCTACAGGTGTTATACAATTTCATCTCTTTTATGTGACTGTATTTGTGGGTCCTGTATGTGAAAGTACAGTAAAGTCTTGTTGGTTCAGACAGTAAGGGAATGGTATTTCAGATTTCACAGTAACCTGGATCAGCATACTGGAAAGCACTTGGCAGTCAAGATTGGAAGTATATGTTTTAATTATCATTAAAACACTGCAACAGAGTAATTCCCGGCTATTCTGAGTTGGCATCCAGTATCTAGAACAGTGTTTCAGAAAGAATTCCCCCAGACATCTGATGATATAATTTCAAAACTTGATGCAGATCCTCTGGAACATGTTGGCAGATGTGTTCCGGTAGACACAGATATTGAAATTATGGTCATGTATTTATTTGTAGTTTATTCAACAATATCACCAGTAACCCAAACCTTATAGCCACAAGTGGCAGGATGTTAGTGAATAATTAATTGGAAAGGATATGGAAGGAAGTGGTCGCAGCCGGATTTTAAGTCACTGGCATGAAATTTGCATTGACAGACTGGGGAGGACCACAAGAACCTTAGTCAAGATAGCCAAGATTCGAACCAGGTACCTCCTGAATGCAAGACAGAAGCATTACTGCTTAATCCATCTTGCTCAGCCTTAAGGGCCTTTTTTCAGATTGAAACATCTGGGTGGGGGCAGATTAACTGAAATTAGTATAGGTTAAATCTGAGAGAGCAAGATTTTACTGCATCTCAAATTGCAGTAAAATCTTTTTTCTTCCCCCTACCAGTGATTTTAAAATTGAGTAAATTGTGTATAAGTTTATATTTTAGATATAATTTGTATTATAATGATTTCATTAGGAACTGGTCCATCTATAACTTTGTAATTCATATATACACTTTTAATGCACCAAACAATTTTATGATATTAGTCCCACTTCATGACAGCTGTAAGTAATGGGATTTTTTTATCTTTCCAGGCCTCGTGAGCGGGAAGAAACAGAACGTGTTATCCGCTGCACTTTAAAGGAAATCATGATGTCAGTGGACTTGGATGAAGTAACCTCCAAATATATTCGGGGTCGCTTAGAGGAAGACCTTGACATGGACCTAGGGGAATTCAAACCATTCATTGACCAAGAGATGCTTACTATACTGGGGCAGATGGATGCAGCTACAGAGATCTTTGATCATGTCTACCTTGGATCTGAGTGGAATGCTTCCAATTTTGAGGAACTTCAGAAAAATGGGTTAGTGTTAGAATTTGTAATATTCAATTTTTAGGTTGTGTCATGGTCTCATTATCTTTTGATGCTGTCTCATGGCCCAGAAGATCATAATACAAGGTTTGGTAATGTAGTTAAAAACAACCCCTCTGTTCAGCATCACTGCCACTACCACTTTATGTTAAAACAGACCGTTATTATGCTGTGATAATTTTGCATGACTTGTTTTGTGGATTATTTAACGAGGCTGTCAGTGTGTACACAGTGTAGTATCAGATGGTTAGGGGACTGATGTATGAGGAATTGGAAAGGATTTGATATAAAGCAATCATAGCCTGATTGACATACTATTTGGCATTCATCTGGAGGGACAAAAGAAAACCATGAAGAACCTCAATCCGGGTAGCTGATGTCCTGGGTGGGATTTGAGCCAGTCACCTCTGAATGCAAGTCTAGAGCATTACTTCTACACCATCTGGTTCACTTCATGCACAAAAGATATGAAGGGGGACCCAAAAATAACCAGAAACGACCTGTTGCGTGCGCATGCTTTGTAGTTACAAGTTGTGCTGCTAGGTGGTGTTAGCTGGGGGTCTCCCGCGACTGTTAGTGAGCTGGCGTCAGTCTGAGTTAAGTGGTTTGTCTGTGGTGCTCTGTTGTGTGCGTTCCTGTTTCAACCCTTTGGCGATTAGTGAGATGGCCGACCAGAAGGAACAAAGAGTGTGCGTGAAATTTTGCTTTCTGTTAGGGAAAACTGCANCTCACTAATCGCCAAAGGGTTGAAACAGGAACGCACACAACAGAGCACCACAGACAAACCACTTAACTCAGACTGACGCCAGCTCACTAACAGTCGCGGGAGACCCCCATCTAACACCACCTAGCAGCACAACTCGTAACTACAAAGCATGCGCGCGCAACAGGTCGTTTCCGGTTATTTTTGGGTCCCACCTCGTGTGTACGTGTATACACGTCAATTGCAACAACATTTTGGTACTTCGAGATTTCAGGTTATCACAGCAATGAGTATTAGGTCTATGGTCTCCTCTGATGTGACAGCCTGTAATTTGGTGACATTGCCTCCTGTTACACTGAAGAGATTCCTTCGAAACATTGATTCCTCTACAAAAGTACACAGTGTCACATCACAGATGATTAATCAGAGTCATGTTCTCTGTACTTTTGTTCCTGCTCTTATAAATTCTGTTTGTGTGGTCATCTCATTATGCTCAGTCAGATGGTGTTTACTTGCAGCAGAATTTTGCTATACTAAATTATTTAAACAGTTGTTATGCAATGTAGAAAAATAAATAACATGAAAATTGCAAAATTGGAAAGCAGGCATTTGTCAGGTACATTAAAATCCTGGTTACCTTGTATCCAGGCATCCCAAATTCTCATCCATTGCAATTTTTTCATTTGTGTAAAGTTATTCAAAAATAAGTTTGTGATGTGCATATGTTTACTGGTTTCACAGAGGAGCAATTTTGCCAGTAGGTGCTCCTTATTAAGTTGTGAGAAATACCCTCCTGCAAAGCAGGCTCTGCCATCAAATGTGAACTCCCTACCTCCAGGAGGTTGTGGCTGTGAGTGCATTCTTTGGTGAGAACATGAGCATAGCAAATAGAATTAAGGTCAGGGGCAAGTGTCTGGCTCCCTGAAACGGGACCATGTGGCTAAGGGTGTAAACCCTGACAGAAACTCTCTGGTCCTCCAGCAAGAGTATGGGTTGAGCTTGAGGCTGACATCCTCATCCTGTAAAAGTAAAGAAAGAAAAAAAAAGTAAAGCTATCCCTGTACCAGGCCGTGAAGGCCCGTAGGGTTGTGAGACGTTGAGGGTCCCACATTATCTAGACAGTCGGCTCAGAGATGGCGGTAAGGTTGTCAGCCTTACGCACTGGCCGCGCTTTACTCCCCAGGAAAATTATTGAATTAATTCCTGATACTCATTTCTGTTAGAGGCTGAGTCGACCCCAGGGCCATAGTGCTCCTGGAAGGATTAGGTCAATTGAAAGAAAAATCCAATGATCTCATCGGGACTTGAACCCACGACCTTCCAGCTTGTAGCATAGTGCCTCAACCAACTACGCTATCATGTGCTCCCTTCCTCATCCTGTAAAAATTTTTAAAAAATCTGAACAAGACAATGGCCAGATGTGTCACTGTATGACATCCTAAAGCAAGGAAAATTTAAGTCCCATTTTCTTGTGCTGGCCACTAAATTGTCATAAGGTGTTTAGTGAGAGGATGAAGATGAAGGGCACTGGATGGGAGGAGGTGGAAAAATGTCTTGGAAGTGGCCAGGGCCCAAACTGGGATGTAGAACCATTGGTAATAGTTGTAGCAGCAGCAGCAGCACATGTTCACCTGTCACATGGTAGTTCTTCCAGCTGACACTAGCAGCTCTACCTGTTGTTCTTTGCTCACACAGTGGAGGATAGTTGCAGTATGTGTACCTGAAATATTACACCAATCAGTCTGCTGTGTTACTTAGGAAGGCTCACATGCACAAACTAAAGTGAAAACATGTTGTTTTGACTTTGTACCGGGCTTCTGTAAGAGTTTTTCTCATGCCACTCATTCATTCATTTCCTTTATTTTCCATATATCCATACAGGCAAAAATCCTAGGATGTGGAAATAGTCCATTTGATTATAGATGTATACATGTAATAGATTACATAAGTCACACAACTAAAATAACACACACCAGTTAACTAACATTGGTAATAAAAAAAAAAACAAGAGCTTATTACAATTGTAACTAAACATAATTTAAAAAGTGCATTACTATAAAAACTTAAAATTAATATAATTTTCCCATAAATCAAAATACATTGATACAGGACTCGTCATATACATACATACACATCCTCCACTTTCCATAAACATCCATACAGGGAACAAACCCAGGATGTGGAATTAGTCATCAAAGACATACACAAAGTCACACAAGTCACACCACGAAGATCACCCACATTAATTATCTAGCACATACAACAATACAAGGCAAAAAAAGTAAACAAACATGAGTCACAAGTAGCCACAATACAACTCCACTGGCACCACAATTCCCTCACATGATGGATGTCAGGAGTGTTCACTGTTCTTTGAATTGTCATTGACCATATTCCCTCATTATACCTAAGAAATGTGTTTGTCTTAGAATTTGCTGTTAGCCTCAGTATAACATGAAAATATTTCAGGTTGTGCTCTTCTGGGCTGTGATGCTGTGTAAACTTGCAGGCAGATCTCAACATTACAGATGCTGCAAGTTTCTGCTAATCACAACCATAGAAACCTCAAAACTTATATCAGTATATAATTGTCTCTGCAAAGAGGAGAAAAAGATGGATGTATTTCAAGTAGATATTTGAGTTATCTATACTTTATTATAAACTACTTTAAATGATGATTATGAAGTATGTTATATTTATTTTTTCAGTGTCCATCATATTTTGAATGTAACACGAGAAATAGACAACTTCTTCCCAGGGATGTTCAATTATTTAAATGTTCGCGTTTATGATGATGAGAAGACGGACCTCTTGAAACACTGGGACAACACATTTAAATACATCACAAGAGCAAGGTAAAAATTTTAACATAATATTATGGAATAATATTGATTTTTGTAATCAGATTAATTATAGCAATTACATGAGTACACGTTGATGACCCATACAAGAAAGTGTGGTACAGTCTTAATCTAGGGAAACCCAAAGTATCTGAACTTCATTTGTGTCAGTGTATGGTATTACAACTAGCAGGGATCCAGGATTTCACTACAGAGAGCTTCATATTGCTGGATGGAACTGGTAGCATATCTATAAAAACAGCCTCCTGATTAGTGTTTTTCAGAGTGAAATGTATTTGATGCCACATAGTATACATGTTGAGCAAATAATTTTCAAAATATACCTCTAGTGTACCAACATTTTAACTGTTTGTTAGAACCAAATGGATGTAAGTCAAGTTAGATCTGTTCTCACTGGAGTGAACAAAGTTCGGAGCTCAGTAGTGTGAATGTAGATAAGGCATCTTGTGTTGTCTAGGGAAATCAGAAATCATATCGATGAAAAAAGTTGATTGAAAAATTTGCCATCGTTTTGGAAGTTGGGAGTTGTGCATTTGTTAAATTATGCTATTATCTGATGTGACAGTGAGAGTTACTGAGAGATTGGCTGTTTTTAGGAGAGACAGGGAGACAAAATATACTTGAGTATCATGTGATTAGAGACAATACCCATTTATGAGTTTGCCAAGCATTTTTAGAACAGTTCTAGATGTGAGCAAAATGTTTTTGAGATTTGTGTTTTCAAAAAAGCATAGTCACTATGATCGATGAAGGAAACTACAGACATGCTGCCAAACAGCAGACAGGATGATTCAGGAATACGAGGGTAATTCGAAAAGTAAGGTCTCCTATGTTTGAAAATATAAAATAAACATTTATTTTCAATTTTGGATACATCAGTTGAATCTTGAACATGTACTCATTTCTCTACAGTATCGCCATTTCGGTCGATGCATTTTTGTAGGCGCAGTGGCAGTTTTTGTATGCCCATGTCATACCAGTTCACCTCCATGCTGTTCAGGAAACTTCGAACCTCAGCTTTCACCTCATCGTCGTTGTTGAAGCGCTTTCCAGACAAATGTTCTTTCAACTTTGGAAAGAGATGGTAGTCACTGGGCGCCAAGTCCGGACTATAGGGTGGATGGGTGATGATGTTCCATCCAAACTGTTGCAGTTGAGCAACGGTTTGTCGGGCAGCATGGGGGCGAGCGTTATCGTGGAGAATGCTTACGCCCTTGCTCAACATCCCTCTTCTCCAGTTCTGAATCGCCCGCCTGAGTTTTCTCAGTGTCTCACAATATCTCTCAATGTTTATTGTGGTCTCAGATTCCATAAAGTCAACCAACAATACCCCGTTTCGATCCCAAAACACAGTTGCCATGACTTTACCGGCAGACTGTGTTTGCTTGAATTTTTGAGGCTTAGGCGAATAGGAATGCCGCCACTGATGTGATTGTTGTTTGTCTCAGGTGTGAAGTGGTACGCCCAGGTTTCGTCGCCTGTGACAATTGAATTCAAGAAATTGTCCTTTTCGTCAGCATAGCGGCGAAGAAATTCACGGGAAGAGTCAACTCTCTGCCGTTTGTGGTGTTCCGTGAGCATTCGCGGGACCCATCTTGCGCACACCTTCCGATAATTCAACTTCTCTGTCAAAACCCAATAAATGGTGGTTCGGGAAACCTCGGGAACCGAAATGCAGAGATCATCGAGTGTGATGCGCCTATCCTGACGCATGACTCGCTCAATCTTCGCGACTGTCTTGTCAGAAATTGACGGTCTCCCAGTTCTTTCTTCATCGTGTATTGCAGTACGACCAGATTCAAACTCCCTACACCACTTGCGGACGTTCTTTATGTCCATGCACGACTCGCCATACACTTCCACCAATTGACGATGAATTTCAATTGGTTTAGTCCCTTTTGCGTTCAAAAACCGAATAACTGCGCGAATCTCACACTTCGAGGTTTTAGTAATCGGGAGCTCCATTTCTAACGGCAACCGTACCAAGACTGAGCGTCCTAGCTACGTGTGCGCATGCTTGGTGGTATTGGGGGGAGTGGGGGAAGCAACGAATGCAACAGGGTTGCCAACAACCGCACGAAAAATTACCCAGCGCTTTGGAGACCTTACTTGGAATCAGCTACGTATTTAAGCAATGAGCTATCTCTGACAGAGATATATATGAGCTGCATATTGATTCATGTTTAAAGAACAACTGCATTGGCTCCTCCAGAAATCCAGCGACTTCATTAGAGCTTTTAACTGATGAAGGAAAGATATGTGTAGTGCATGTTGCAGCTATCATAACATCACAGAGGAGGGGAAACAGATACACGAGGAAAAGCATGAAGAGCATTTAAGGAAATTTCAAGCTAAAGAAGCATAATTTGATACAGAGCATATGTGTTATGTTGTGGTTCTTACTTAAGCACACAGACAACTTAGCTTTTTATAGTAAAAGGTGAAGCTATCCCTGTGACAGGCCATGGAGGCCCATAGGGTTGTGAGACGTTGGGGCTCCCACATTTTCTTTAGACAGTCAGTTTACAGATGGCTGTGAGGCTGTCAGCCTTACGCGCCACCCGTCCTTTTCCCCCCAGGAAGATTCCTGGTACTCGTTTCTGTTAGAGGCTGAGTCGACCCCAGGGCCATAATGCTGGTGGAAGGATTAGGTCAATTGAAAACATCCAATGACCTCATCGGGACTTGAACCCGTGACCTTCCTGCTTGTGGCATAATGCCTCAACCAACTTCACTGCTGTGTTTGTAAATGTATAAAAAAGTGTACATGTTCTTACTGTGCCCAACAATTTTTTCGTTTTTCAGAAAAGAAGGCTCCAAAGTGCTGGTTCACTGTAAGATGGGTGTAAGCAGGTCTGCATCTGTTGTGATAGCGTATGCCATGAAAGCCTATAACTGGGACTTCAAGGAAGCTTTTGAATATGTGAAGCAGAAGAGAAGTTGCATCAAACCAAATTCAAGCTTTATATCTCAGCTGGAAACATACCAGGGAATCTTGGACGCAATGAAGAATCGCGAAAAATTGCAACGCTCCAAGTCAGAGACAAATCTCAAGTCCCCTGGGCTTGTAGCCAAGGCAGAGCAAGGAGCTGCATGTAGTGGACCCATGGGAACAACAAGGCAGGAACCTGTTTCAGGCCCTGAGTTTCTGCCTGAGGCACTTGGTACAGCCACATCTGGAGAAGAGTTGAGGAGGACCGGAGGGCGGCCTAAATCATGGTCACCTGATAACAGTTCTACTGCTTTACTCTTTTTGGGAAATGTAACAGGTACGTGTTGTTTCTATATCTGCATTTCTGAGGTGTTGTAAGTAGTATGAAAGGAGCATAAAAATAAATAACAAACCTCACATGGAGAATGTTTGTGTAAGTGTTTAGCAATATTCTTTAGGGCTTTATTTCGAAGGGTAAGAAATTCTAAAATCAATCTGGAAGTGAAACTTATGGTGATGATTACTGTTTTCTGAGATGTTGTACTGTTGTCTAACCCAGAGTACAGTATAACATCTCAGAAAACAATCATTACAGGCTTCACTGTGAGAACATCAGGTATCACATTGTTAATGCAGTATTTTTTTTCTAACTGTATTTGAGGTGCAGGCACTGAACATTTTACAGCATCCAGAAATGTGGGAGGACCAGAAATCCACAATTTTTTAATCAGATGGATAGGAATGAAAAAGTGGATAGTTCGTTAACCAGCTGCTTTGCTTGAGTGGCACAGATCATATGTTATCTTGTTTCTCCATGATAATTGTTGTTATTTACCTTGTTATGAACTAATCTCGTACTTTCCATTGGTATGACATGGACTGCACAGAAAATGATGCCACAGGAATGTGTTTAGTAAGCCATTGCCTACACAGACCACATAGAATACAGTGCTTCCAACAGTTCTTCTGTTGTTGCATGTATTCATTGCCATGGGAACATGTTTACTGAGCCATTGCTTAGCAACGGCGATGAATGCACACACGCAGACTAGTGAGAGGGATTTATGAAGTGTGCTGTTGAAATGCGCTTAAGACACTATGGTACACATACCAAGTTTCATAAAATTGGTTCAAGTGTTCAGAAATTAATTTGATGGGATACGCATACAGACACACAAACAGTGAGGTGATCTCACAAGCCCAGTTATATTTTTTCAAAATGAGGAAAGTGAGCTAACAATTTTATGCTGAGTGTAAAGTATAAGGTGAAGTTACTTACACAAAATTAGAAGAATGTACTTCATGAAACAAGCATGTGCATAGTTGGGGTATATACCTCTACCATATATGGCCTAGAACCAAGAATCCAGCTTACATTAGTCCAAAGCTTTCTGGATGAAAAGTTCAGTATGTGGGTGAGAAAAGGAAGCATGTAGCAGGAAATTAGATTTGAGATAGGATAATTCGCTCCTTATATCTCATTCTCTTAATCTGTGGTCTTTATGTCCAGCATGATAAATAAAATTTTATTTCACATATCTACAGACATGTTTGTTTAATGGAAAAATTAACGTTTCATGTCATAGGTCCCACATCTGTGTCCTTGGAGCATTTGAACCTTGAGGGAACATCACCAGTGAAACAGGACACATCTCCAAGGATTGCATGCTCCCGACTAGAAATCAAGCCACAAGAACGCAGCCCACAGGATGGTATTTCTCCAGCATTGCCTGCCACAGAAACTACCGATGCAGCTCGTAATTACAACCTCAATGTGCGCATGCCTTGTGGAAATGGGCAGGCATACAGTGTGTCACAGAACAAAGTGGTGTACCTGCCTGCCTCTTGCTCCCAGGGGAAACAGTGCATGTCTGAAGTTGAAAGTTCCTTCACAGCAGCAGAAGTTGTAGTTCCATCGGTAAAGCATCGAGTCAATGAACTGGAATTACAGAACAGTCATACTAATGATGCAGCAAACAAGAAGGTTTTCTTGGACAGGAAAGGACTGGTACTTAATCTTATGACACAGTTTGAATCCAGTGGTTCAAAACCCAGCTCTCCAGATGCTGCAGAAGGAGAAGAAGAGGAGAGACAGTTCAGTAAGACAAGCGAAGAAGATGAACAAACAGCACAGTTTCAGATGAAGTTAGCTCCTCAGATGCTTACTGCAGTCCTAGTCAAGAAGGAGATCTGGGATCCAGGGCAGAAAGAATCTCCGACAGTTTATGCTGTGGAACATATTGCTCCAGTCACTTCTTCCCCACCCAATTCTCCTGTTTCCCACCCCACGGTGCCAACTAATAGTGACTGCCTAGTCTGGACCTCTTCTACTGAAATGGTAGAAAAACGTGTGCATGAACCTTTAAGCAGCAAAGCTGAGGATGTGATATTTGTTTCTGAATTGAAGTTAGGGGACACTGAGACTGTAGACAGACTGTCAGCACAAAGTAAAGAAGTGGCAGGAAGCAAAACGTTACCAAGAAGGGAAGGGGACCCGTTCTCTGCTCAGCTGGACCGTGTGTTCGAACGAGAAGAACGCAAGCAACAGAGAACAGTGATACCTGTAACTGTACCTATTCCAAGTGCAACACCACCACCACCACTACTGCCTCTATGTGTTACAGAAGTGTCAAGTGAGGCTCCTGGCAGGGAATGTCCATCACGTCAAAGTTCATGGAGTTCATATGATAGTGCGGTTGTGCTCGGTTTTCAAGGGGAAGCGCGTGATGCGCCATCCCGCCAGAGTTCGTGGGGATCAGGGGACACAAGATGGACATATGGTGGGGGAGGTACATTACCATCACGTAACAGTTCTTGGGGGTCATACGACATGCGACCACCTATGCAGTATGTCAACGAACGTGGTGAGAAACAACAGCCACCAATTCAGACACATTTGGATGACTTGTTTGGTAGCAGCAGCAGTGGGATGTTTCCCTATGATCGTGATGAGATACCGTGGTATCCTGGCACTGTGAAAAGAACGAAACAAAAGCTGGAGGAAGGAACTAGCACTGTCAAGCGCATGTGTTCTGATGCGCAGCAACGAAGTGAATCTCCCTCATCTCCAGTGATTGACAGTCAAGACTCGCCATCGCCTTGTCCCGTCAGGGCTGGAGATTCTATTCCAGGTGTGAATGTCAAACTCCATGGACCCCGTCCTTACCGGAGCCCATCCTCGGACAGATTACTCCCTAGTACAGGCTTCTCTTTTCCTTCATCTGATCCTCATTCCTCCGACCTTCATTCTGGGAATATAGGAATCCCATTCGAGGCCCAGAGCCCAGTTATGATTCACTATGCCAGCTCTCCTACACTCTGCTCGCACCACAGAATGGGTAGTGAGAGTGATGACTCGATGAGCACCTCGCCTGCGTCTGCAGAAAAGATGGCCATCTCACAACCTAACATCACCTTCATTGATTCTGCATCTGCTGATAACAGATTAGCAGAAGAAACAGTATCACAACAGTCTAGTGCCATATCACGACAAACAGACTTTGCGAGGGAATACTGCTCTACAGTGGTTGTACCTGATTCTCTTCCTCAAACATTATGCTCTCTGTCTGCTAGTGCGCCCACTACATCATCTGTTAGTTTAGTGGAAGGTGTTGAGACCCAGACTCCTCCTTCACATTCCCTTCCTTCTGTTTCGTCTGTCTGCTTAATTCCACATGATCTGTCTGCAGCTGTCTCGTGTGAAACAGTGAGTGAAACTAGTCCTTGTATTATCAACACCACTCAGTGTGCATCAGTTAAACATCAGAAGAGGGTGTTGGAGAACTTAACTAATGTGGCTAGAAGGAGCATATCGGTTGACAGTTCTGCAGATGTTACCAAAGACACTAATGTATTGTCAAGATCTCCAGAGGTTTTGGATAGCCAGAAAAGTGTTTCAGGTCTTGTCAAGAACCTAAAGAAAGAATTTGAAGCAAAATCTGTAAATAAGACAGAGAAATGTGGCATTACAACCACTGAATTATCTGCTGGTGAGAGTGAACAGAAGAGACCTTCAGACGGTGTAAAGGCACGTAGTCTTCCATCATCACCCATCAGCAGTCATCCAGAATGCAAGTCTCCTGGCCCTGCATCTACTGTTGAGGACTTGTCAGTGAAGGTGTTGGTGGGAAAATATGAAGTGAGTAAGAACACTGTAGGGCAGTCTGACTCGCCTCCTCTTGGATGCCGACAGAGGTTGTCAGAAAGTGAGACTGTTCCGAGAAGAACGTTGTCATCACAGCAGCAGCCTCCTGTTCCATTACGAAAGTCCAGTCTTGAAATTCAGTATATTCAGAACAATGCAAATAAGCATTCATCCTTATTGGTTCGTAACCTGCGCAATGGTAATGAAGGATCCAGTGCACGTCCCCCTGTAGTACCACATGTGCGTAGCTGTGTGGGGCCATCACCTAGTGTGGTGGTTGCTAGTGTCGTGGCTAAGGCTGCTAGTAAAAAGCAGCAGCAGGGCAAGACTCACCCTCTAGCCCGTCTCACAATAAATAAGCCCCGCCACACCAATACTGTGTACAATACAATGTGATGGCAGGAAGCATGACAAACATGTTTTTATTTCTAGTAATTTATGAATGAATCTGGTACTCTCTCAACCAGGTGTAATCCACCAACATGTGCTTGATGATGTGTGTGTGTGTAAGTGAGACATGTGCATGCATGTGTGAATGGATTTTATTACCATCAGTTGTGGTAATCATGTTTCTCATCTTATGGAATTCGTGTCCTTTCCCGTGGTCATGTTCACTGTCTTGTATCTCTTATCAGCAAGCGACACACTTATCAAACATAGGAAGATGTGCTGATGATCATCACATGGCAGTCCCACATTATTGCACTCTGTGAATAATTGTATTATACTGCCATAAAGTACAGCTCATGTGGACAACCAGAATTGCAGGTAATATTAGTCCAAAGATCAGTTGTGTTAGACAAAGTAAAAATTAGTAACAGCTTTCTTTGGCTTCAAAATAGAAAACCAAAAATCATTTATTGGTAAGAAGTGATATAAAATGCAGTTTTCTTGAGAAAGATCCACATAAATTGACACAGTTTAAAGGCTGATTCATGAAAGTTATTTTACTTTTTAAGAAATTCTCTTGACAGTGGATTTTTTTCTGAGCAAGTGTGCAAGTGACTGTATTTACTGCAAAAGTAATTTCTCTTACAGTTTACATACTGTCAGTTCAGTCATATTTGTTCCAGAAAGTGAGACAGATGGTTCCCATAATTTTTTTAATTATTTCTTGTCCTTTTTTGTTGACAGATTTTTGTATAATTTCATGGATATCACATAAAGAGCATTGTATTTTAAATTAAAAAGGACTAGAATATTCGCATCTAAATTTCATATTATGTACAGTGAAGTCATCAGCTAAAGTTCCTTAGTTTAGTATCCAAATTCATTGCTGCAGAAAGAAGGCTTGAATGGGGAGGTTCACTGTACTTGATGTGAAGTTATTCAAAGTATATTGTAAATTGACTTGCTCTCTCATATATGACTTAACATTAGACAGCACAATAATTCATAACTTGAATTTTGGGAAAGGACCAGTAACATCACATTTCCATATCTGTTCTTACATAGAGACTTTATTTTGTATCGAACATATTAGGATTCAAATTTTTTCTTCTTGTAATTGTTTTAAAAACCTCACTCCCATGTGCCTGCAACCTACCTTAGATTTTCCCTTGTTAAGGTGAGCCAATAGACATAAGAGAGCGTGGAATGGAGGCTGAAGAACTGCAGTGGCTGTCAAGAAATCTAGTCCTTAATGTGTGTGTGTGTGTGTATGCATGAACCTACAGCTCGCAAGGTTTGGTGCAACATTCCAAGGCCTGAAGACAAGCGAGACTAACTGATGTTGCAGGCTGGAGCTTTGGCTGATAAACAAAGTTCAAGCCTTGCCCAGACAAATTGAAGGAATGGGAAGACTTCAGTGTGTGTCTTAATTGATTCTGACCTTCACTAGATGTACCCATTAGTGTTCTTTGCTTTGTGTACGTGTACATGTATGTGATCTGTGCATTGTAAAATTTTTGTACTATAGTTTGTATGAAATAAGTACAGATATTGTTTATTGCTTGAGTTGAATATTAGTATTTTTTGAACCCCTAAACCTCTTCCTATAACATGATATTTTGTGTTAGAATGTACAAAATTATATATCAAGATGTGATCTCTGTTGAAAGGGTGAAACTGAAATGAAACACACTACAAAAATACTGTTTTCAGCATCTTTATACACGAAATTGAATAAGGTAGATGAAATTTGTACACACAAGAAATTGATAGAAGAAATATCAAAATGAAGTAAGAGAAAAGATAGGCCATATCAACATAATCCAAATGTCAGAATATAACAAAAGAAGCAATGTCAGGGCAGTTTCATTCAACTTTCTTCACTTAATATTGTTCTACTGAATTAATGTGGTAGATATCAATCAAGCTGGCTCAGGTAGTAATACTTTCTAATTTGGTTTGACAGGTGCCTCATTTGAACCTTGGCCAGGACACTATCTAGACTGAGCTATGATAATTTCATTCCTCATGTTGTAAAACGCGTTATTTATTACTATGAAGTCGTTCTATACTGCATAGTCTGAGTTATAGCATCGTTAAATAAGATACAAAGAAATAAAAAGAAAGGATCATTTACAAGGTCTGTTATTCCCATGGCAGTTCATGTTAAGATTGAAGTCTTCTGAGACAACAGTAGTTTCCTCCAAAACCTTGGTGCTTTTCTACCATGCTACACAGGATCACATCCCAGAAGGCAGTAATTTGAAGGAGCACTTGTCTATGTACCAATTAAAAGAAGACAGAGAAGCGTGTTTTGTGTTTTTCTGATCCCCATTATCTGTATCAGTGCTCTGATGAAGAAATGAAGGATCTTTGTAAAGTGGGGAATATTTATGTCTTTAACTGCCTTGACTGTTCAAAAGTTGGTCATTTATGCTACAGTGATGATAATAGAGTTTCTGAGGGGCTGTTTACTGCAGGGATCTGTGAATATGGACTTGTGAACCCTAAGTATCAGTTACTTAGAAGACTAAAGTTGCCCGTTTGCATAATATGTCAAGTGTCAGATAACAGGATCTTACTGTGGTTCTTTCATGTTCATGTTAACAATTTTAGAAAATGGCAAGAATTCTCTAGAAACTTGCAAAAATACGCATTTCTACAGGGTACTATCTTCTGGGATGTGATACTGTGTAGTCTGGTGGAAGTTTACTGACATTTGAGAAGAATGTTGCTGAACTTCTACCAGACTACACGGCATCACATCACAGAAGATGGTACTCATCACAGTCACTGCCGTGAAAACCTCTAATCCAATGCTTTTATTTTCTGATCAGAATATAGTCATTTGTGGAGAGGAGAATTTTCAGAAAACCATTTGTTCATATCAAAATACACGAACACAATATGAAAATTTCCACCACGTATACAATATCTGAGTGTAGAGGAAAATGACATAGAAGAGCAAAAATTGCTTTGATGATACTAGAATAGGTAATATTAATATAAAACTAAATGGACTTCAAGAATTTTGAAGTACAAAACACACTTTAGTACAGGATTCACAGAAACTAACCTTACCAAATATACCAAGGAACATGCAGTAACATAGGTGATTTGAGGCATTATGCTACGAGCTGGAAGAGCGCGGGTTTGAACCTTGATGAAGGCAGTGGATTTTTCAGTTGACCCAATCCTTCCAGCTGCACTATGGTGCTGGGGTTGACTCAGTCTCCAACAGAAATGAGTACCAGGCATCTTCCCAGGGGGGAAAGGGCTGCCGGTGGGTAAGGCTGACAAACTCACTGCCATCTGTGAGCTGATTGTGCAGAAAATATGGGAACCCAGTGGGCTTCCATGGCCTGTTACAAGGATAGATTTACCTTTTTCAAATTACTAGTGCTTTTGAATGGATCTGCATGCTGAAAGTTAATAAAGGATCAAGCAACAAGACTAGACACAGCAAGAATGCTTTTCCACAGGGTGGTCACAAGATACAGATCAAATTATAAATTTGCAGAAAATATTAGATAAGAGATGGAAATAACAGATATCAGTTAGGAAACAAAGTTCCAAAAGGAATGACCAAGATCATTTGGACAGAATGCTCTAAAACTGAATCTTATATCTGTTTTAATGATACTGTCTGTCTGAAAACCCTTTGAGTGTATGTAATACTGTGAGTACCCAACATTGTGGAAGCAAGGTCCTGCGTGTTACACAGAATCTTCAGCAAGGCAATTTTGTTAGAATATAGTCACCAAACAGGTTGGTCTAGAGGTAATGCTCTAGACTTATATTCAGGAGGTGCTCAGTTTGAATCTCAGCTGGATGTTGACAGACCAGACAGATTTCTTGTGGCTTTCCTCAATCCATCCAGGCAAATTCCAGGATAGTACCTCGCATGAAACAATTGTTTCTTTCCAGTTCATCTTTTGTCTTACCGTTACAGTCTTTATTCTGAAACCATCCTTGAATAAAAGAAAGAATCTAATAACTTTATAATAATGATGTAACAAGTTACATCACTTGTTTGATGAATATTCTCAGGCTCAGAGGTGTTTTAGAAACAGTGTACGAACTGAAGAGGTGTCTAACAAGAAGACTTAATCCTGGTAGCGAGACTACTTCCCATATGAGAGATCTTACCAAGAGATTTCCTGGTATGGAACCTGTAGGTTCATTTCATGTTCACAGGAACTTGCACAAGACTGTATCCTAAGAGAGTTTAATATACTCTGCACCCTATGCAGATATGTACATATCTAGCCAAACTACAGGGAGTCACTTTCCAGAAGGAAGTAATCTTAAACAGTTCCTGTTGTCAGAACCTCAGACTTCATTATAACACTGGACAGACATTTTGAGCTGTTCAGGTTCCCCCACCCCATCAATATCCAACCAGAGCTCATATTCAGTCCATAAGCTTATACAGTATTTTGAAAGCTAATAGTAGTTGGTACTGTTTTAATGTACCCCTTATTTCTGTGTACATAATGTACTGATTAAGTCTTCAACTAAGTAATAATTACTATTTATAACAAGCTGCTGGAGCTTCACTCTGAAAAGAGAACTTCGTTTGGTTCTTCTAATACATGCAGGATGCTTGTAATATCTGCCTTTTGTGATGGTTGGCATGCAATTATGAATTTCAAGTTTGTGTACATACAGTTGACAGTCGGAGTAGATCTAATATAATGAGCATGAAGCTTATCGTTAGTGATACAACTACCATGGTCTTCTACAGATAAAATTGTTTCATTAATTACAAAAAAATATTCAAGCTGGCAAAACTCTCCTGACAAGAGCCAACAGCTTAGTCCTCTGGTGTGGGAAGTCTGCAACCACCCACTGTCATTCACTGACAGGCACATCCATCCCTTCTGCCTTTGCCCCAGTTGGACCTGTGAACAACCTAGACCTCACTTCCTTAGAGAAGAGCCTCCTCTACTGGCCCATTTATTTGCTAGCCTGCCCATTTTATCTTGATAGTCAGGTTCTTCACCCCTATCAGGAGACCTGTTGCCATTACTGGACCCACACCAGGGCCTTTGAAAGATCTTGTCTATCAATGACAGCAGAACTAAAGACCTGACAACATCCCAGCCCCACAAAGCAGGGAGATAAGCCTCCCTCACTCCCAGCTAGACCCATAATCCCCACTGTACAAGGCCCAGAACATGAAAGCAGATGTCCCCCTTACATGTCTTAACTGTTAGCCTGTCCACTTCCTGATAAGTTATTCACACATATCAAGAGACCTCATATTCTTACCCTCAGTGGAGCATCACTAGACCTGTGAGGTATTTGACTGCCACTTCATGACAGCAGAAGGCCAGAAGACCCAGCACATGAGCCCTACAAAGCAGTGTAACCCTCCAGCCACCCTCTGTTTCGCAACAGGGGCAACAAAGATCCCTGTTGGTCTGGGCCAGACCCATGATCAAGCACCAACTGAGGCCCCAGTCCCCAATATCGGAATCCCCCCCCGCCCAGCCTGGCCTATCTGCTAGCCCATACAATTCTTCCTCTTGATGGTCAGATTTCCCACCCCCATCAAGAGTTCTCTCCAGAATCCCCAACAGATTTTGACTACCTCATGAAGTTTTAAGATAGTTGATGTATTTTTTAATTGAGGAGGGGGAGGGATGGCACTTGCCTGCCCTGGCTGAAGTTGACTGCCTGACAAAACCAAACAAGCACCCCAAAGACGAGTTTCCCAAGACAACCACTGTTATCTGAGAATGAAACAAACATAGGAATAGAATGGTCGACAGTGTCTGGCTGCAGCATGGCTGCTTGCCAAGCTTGCGGTGCCTATCAGAGCCCAGAATTATATCAGCCAGCAGTTATATTGATTGAATGGTCAAAGAACATTACACTGTTCCAGCATACAGCTGTTCTGAAGCGGAATTCAAATGCAGGCGTCACACACGTGCTGAATCCAAATGGTAAACTTGTTTTTAAGTGTTTGCGCTCTGGCTGTACTGTCCTATAGGGACCTTGGCTTTCTGTACGTTAGGTGCCCATTTTTCTGTCATTTGCCTTTTACTACCTCCTCTTCACATTTATCTCTTCCAATCATCCCAAGCTCGGCTTTCCCCCTTTCCTTCTATATTATGACTTACGTTAAAAATATGTCTTAATCACTTTTGCTTGGTCGAATCTGGTCACGTGTTGCAGCCACGCCAACTTTCACCTGTGACTCATGTAATTCCCCCAATTCTTGTTTAGCTCTGATTCTTCAACACTTTTGCTCAGTTACTGGTCCATACACCTTGAAAATGTTCCTCTCTTACGTGTGTAACATAACCTTTTCAGTCATGGACCATGTTTAACAGCTGTACAAAAGTAAGGGTACCCTTCTGCTTAGTTAAGCACCGTGGTATGAAGACGTATGGGAGGATGTAGCAGCTCCATGCATTTAACATCAGCACTAGATGGAGGTGAGCGAGTAGATGCATGATCCGGTTGCTTAACCCTCAGGGAAAGAGCCGGCGATACCCATTTGGTGGCTGATTCCTGGGTTCGGTCTGGACTGTGTGAAGAAGAGCAAATATCTCTTA